CTCAAACTCGATTATGAAAACAATGTCCATCTGAAACACATGATATATGAAAACAATGTGCTTCTGAAAGACATGATTTATGAAAACAATGTCTATCTGAAATACATTATTTATGAAAACAATGTACATCTGAAATACATGATTTATGAAAACAATGTACATCTGAAATAGTAGATTTATGAAAACAATGTCCATCTGAAATACATGATTATGAAAACATTGTCCATCTTGAAAACATGATTTATGAAAACAATGTACATCTGAAATACATGAATTTTGAAAATAATTGTACATGTGGAAAACATGATTTATGAAACAATGTCCATCTGAAATACATGATTATGAAAACATTGTCCATCTTGAAAACATGATTTATGAAAACAATGTACATCTAAAATACGGTTTATGAAAATAATGTTCATCTGAAAAACATGATTTATGAAAATGTTCATCTGAAATACATGATTTGTGAAAATGTTAATCTGAAAGACATGATTTATGAAAGCAATGTCCATTTGAAATACATGATATATGAAATCAATGTCCATTTGATATTCATTATTTATGAAAACAATGTAAATCTGAAATACATTATTTATGAAAACAATGTACATCTGAAATACATGATTTATGAAAACAATGTACATCTGAAATGCATGATTTGTGAAAACAATGTTCATCTGAAACAAACGAATTGTGAAAACAATGTCCATCTGAAACACACGATTTATGAAAACAATGTCCATCTGAAACTAACGATTTATGAAAACAATGCCCATCTGAAACACATGAATTATGAAAATAATGTCCATGTGGAAAACATGATTTATGAAAACAATGTCCATCTGAAATACATGATTATGAAATCAATGTCTTTCTGAAAAACATGATTTATGAAAATGTTCATCTGAAATACATGATTTGTGAAAATGTTCATCTGAAAGACATGATTTATGAAAACAATGTCCATTTGAAATATATGATTTATGAAAAGGTACATCTAAAATACATGATTTTTTAAAATGTTCATCTGAAATTCATGATTTGTGAAAATGTTCATCTGAAATACATGATTTGTGAAAATGTTCATCTGAAAGACATGATTTATGAAAACAATGTCCATTTGAAATATATGATTTATGAAAAGGTAAATCTAAAATACATGATTTTTTAAAATGTTCATCTGAAATTCATGATTTGTGAAAATGTTCATCTGAAATACATGATTTGTGAAAATGTTCATCTGAAAGACATGATTTATGAAAACAATGTCCATTTGAAATATATGATTTATGAAAAGGTAAATCTAAAATACATGATTTTTTAAAATGTTCATCTGAAATTCATGATTTGTGAAAATGTTCATCTGAAATACATGATTTGTGAAAATGTTCATCTGAAAGACATGATTTATGAAAACAATGTCCATTTGAAATATATGATTTATGAAAAGGTAAATCTAAAATACATGATTTTTTAAAATGTTCATCTGAAATTCATGATTTGTGAAAATGTTCATCTGAAATACATGATTTGTGAAAATGTTCATCTGAAAGACATGATTTATGAAAACAATGTCCATTTGAAATATATGATTTATGAAAAGGTAAATCTAAAATACATGATTTTTTAAAATGTTCATCTGAAATTCATGATTTGTGAAAATGTTCATCTGAAATACATGATTTATGAAAACAATGTACATTTGAAATACATGACTTATGAAGTCAATGTCCTTCTGAAATACATGAATTATGAAGTCAATGTCCTTCTGAAATACATGAATTATGAACACAATGTCCATCTGAAAAAACATGATTTATGAAATTGTTCATCTAAAATACATTATTTACAAAAACAGTGTTTATCTGAAAATCATGATTTATGAATGTGTTAATCTGAAATACATGATATGTGAAAACAATGTCCATCTGAAATACAAAATTTATGAAAATATTCATCTTAAATACATGATTTATTAAAATGTTCATCTGAAATTAATGATTTGTGAAAATGTTCATCTGAAATACATGATTTATGAAAACAATGTACATCTGAAATACATTATTTATGAAAACAATGTACATCTGAAATACATGATTTATGAAAACAATGTGCATTTGAAATACATGATTTATGAAAATGTTCATCTAAAATACATGATTTTTTAAAATGTTCATCTGAAATGCATAATTTGTGAAAACAATGTACATCTGAAATACATTATTTATGAAAACAATGTACATCTGAAATACATGATTTATGAAAACAATGTGCATTTGAAATACATGATTTATGAAAATGTTCATCTAAAATACATGATTTTTTAAAATGTTCATCTGAAATGCATAATTTGTGAAAACAATGTACACAATGTCCATCTAAAAAACATGATTTATGAAATTGTTCATCTAAAATACATTATTTACAAAAACAATGTTTATCTGAAAAACATGATTTATGAAAACAATGTACATCTGAAATACATGATATGTGAAAACAATGTCCATCTGAAATACATGATTTATGAAAATATTCATCTTAAATACATGATTTATGAAAATGCTCATCTGAAATACATGCTTTATGAAAACAATGTACATCTGAAATACATGATTTATGAAAATAATGTCAATCTGGAAAACATGATTTATGAATACAATGTCCATCTGAATGACGATTTTTGAAAACAATGTCCATTTGAAATACATGATTTATGAAAATGTTCATCTAAAATACATGATTTATGAAAACAATGTACATCTGAAATGCATGATTTATGAAAATAATGTCCATCTGGAAACTTGATTTATGAATACAATGTCCATCTGAAACACATGATATATGAAATCAATGTCCATTTGAAATACATTATTTATGAAAACAATGTACATCTGAAATACATGATTTATGAAAAGAATGTACATCTGAAATACAAGATTTATGGAAACAATGTCCATCTAAAACACGATTTGTGAAAACAATGTGCATCTGAAACACATGATTTATGAAAACAATGTCCATCTGAAACACTCGATTTATTAAAACAATGTCCATCTGAAATGCATGATTTATGAAAATGTTCATCTAAAATACATGATTTATGAAAATGTTCATCTAAAATACATGATTTATGAAAATGTTCATCTAAAATACATGATTTATGAAAATGTTCATCTAAAATACATGATTT